AAGACAGTACTTTAAAAGTTCAAGCACTTATGGTACGTTTAAAGTTGCAAAGACTCCAATTGATGTGAATCTTGCGTTAGCAAAGAACAAAGGCCAAAGCATATCACAATTGGATTATGCTCGAGTGTGGGGATGCTTAATGTACATCATGAATTGTACACGACCAGATATAGCTTGTGCTATAATTAAATTGAGTCGATACACGAGCAATCCAGGTCAATCTCACTGGATGGCAGTGAAACGAGTTTTGGGATATTTAGAACATACCCAGGACTTTGCTTTGCACTACAGTAAATATCCTACGGTCATTGAGGGATACTGTGATGCAAATTGGATCACCGGTTCAACTGATTCTAAGTCCATAAGTGGATATGTATTCATATTGATGGAGGAGCGGTATCTTGGAAGTCATCCAAACAAACTTGTATTGCCCGCTCTACAATGGAGGCTGAATTCATAGCCTTAGATAAAGCCGATGAAGAAGCTGAAATGGCTCCGAAATTTCTTGGAAGACATTCCATTTTGGCCCAAACCGTTGGCACCAATGTGCATACATTGCGATAGTCAAGCGGCAATTGGAATGGCTGGGAGCTTTATGTATAACGGTAAATCTCGTCACATACGACGAAGACATAAAACCGTTAAGCAATTACTCTCTAGAGGAATTGTCACGATTGACTATGTAAAGTCAAGTGATAATGTGTCGGGTCCACTTACAAAAGGCCTAACTAGAGAGGTAGTTGAGAAATCATCAAGGGGAATGAGACTGTGGCCGAGAACAAGTCATAGTGGCGGTAACTCTACCTAGAAGACTGGAGATCCCAAGATCTAGGTTCAAGGAGATCAAACAAAGTCATTAATGACGGTTCAACATTGTCAACTAAACTTTTGGTCTATTCTCGTGATGAGATAATGTTCAGTACCAAGGATAAAGCATTAAGGCTTTTTAATGATTTCTAAATTTGATAGTGCGTACATGTTCAAATAGTGTATCTAAGGGATGACACGTTTAGGAATCACCTATGTAAGTGTGAAGTGTTAGCCGCTTCAAGGAGAACTTTGTAAGGCCATCTCTACGCACTTATGAAACCAGGCGGTGTTCATGGCTGAAACGAATATAACAATAAAAACCAAAGACAGTTAAGGGTTGGTTGTGTGACTTGTGGTTGTCTAGGTATACACCAAAGTTCAATGGTTCAAAGATATCAAATCTACCGATTGATCGAGTATATCCGACATAAGTTCACTACGGAAAGTTCAAAGAGAAACTTACTTATCCAGATGCAATTATTCCTTGCTAGCGAATCACAAAGTTTTTCATGCATACTTCCGTGATATAGTCATTCCCCATTCATGTGGGGGATTGTTGGGTTTTTAAGCTATTAGTGCTTAAAATGGGGTGAATGGGAAATGGAGGGAAAAATGAAATATTTGAGTAATATTTGAGTTTCCCTCCTTGATTGTCCCATATGGGAAGAGGAAAAGATTTTTGATGGGTATATAAGCAATTGCTCTTCTTCAAGCTCATAAAGAGTTGAGAAGAAGGCAAGCCTCGCGCCGTCGTCGTCGTCGCTCGCTCGCTCGCTCGGCTCGGCTTCGACTTAACAGAAATGTTATTAAATATTTGGTTTGATAACAAAATATAATATTAAAATAAATATTAATATTAAATCCAATCCAGTTATCCAATTTTCAGTTTTCTGTTTTTGTAACAGAAAATTAACTACCCTTCAATTTTCCCTCTTTATTGTTGAGTAAATAGCCATTTATGTTATGACATTTATGCTATGGCCGTTTTGCATAAATAGCCATTCTGAAGAGTTGCACCTCTTCAGATTTCAGCCCAACTTTGGCTATAAATACAAGTCTATTCTGCTCAGAATTTCCATACGATTTTCTGAGTTTCTCTTCCTTCTTCTGCATACTTTTAACATCAAACAAAGCAACAGTAAGTGTGATTTGGTACCGAACTTTGTGTTCGCTGAAACACTGGGTTTGAAGTACAGCTATACCAGTGTGTAATTCGTTCTATCCTGGGAGAAAATAATCCACAACCTTGGGTACTAGGAGGGGATTAAATTCCTTAAGGAAACACTGTGAATTCAGTGGGCTCGGATTAAAATTATGTTTCTGTTTTTCATTTCTGTTTATGTTAAATTATATTTTCCAGAATTATTTTACAAATACAGTTTACTAACAGAAAATGGAAAGATGAAGAAGATGGATTTTAATTTTAATTTCTATAATTATTTTTTCTTTTTAAAGTCAATGACACGTGTCACGACCCTATTAGGGCGTGACTTTCACGTTATCTGAAAAATTGGTCAAGCACAAAAGTGGTGTGTCTTAGATACACTTTTGAAAAGTTGTGTGTGTGAAAGATTTCCCGTGAAAAAGATGTGTGTAACAGGAATTTTGCTGCAAGATTGATGTGTAAACTATGTATCTTGCTTTTTTAAATATGCAAATACTTTCAAATCTAAGTAGCAAGAGAGAGAAATAATTACACAGGGGAAGAAAAACACGACTAGGAATAAAAAGAATAATCTATGTTTTGCTGATATATATAATAATGTAATAAAATAATACATCACCGTGGTCCGCAATGGCCTACGAAGAAAAGAAGAAAGAGAAAATTATTAATAACTTAAACATTAATGATTGATTCGTATAATTCTACAAGCTTATCCAGAAATGTAGGCCATTATAACGTTAGAAAAAAGGAAGAAAATTGAGACGACTTCATCGAAAGAACTGGTAATTGTAGTTTACACTTCTGGAGGTAGAGAGACAATCCAATGCACAAATTATTACGCCTTCACGTGAAGTTCGAGAAAAAGTCACATTCTTAAAAGTGTAACGTAGATAACTTATCTTAATTTATGACATGTATAACATAGATGTATATATAATGCGTATTTACTACATTATATTTACTATGTACTTTCGATCAAATTATAGACATACATAATACTAAATATATACTTAATTATACTAAGTAAAATTCACTCCGAATATATTGACTCTAAATCTCGATATGTCTTCAAATTAAAAGAAAAAACGAAAAAGGAGAAATTGATCATTTAGCATTCGCCAAGGCTTGGGTAGGCTAGAGAAGGATACAGCTGTAACAACAATAACAATATCAATGTGATTTTACAAGTGGTTTGGGGAGGATGAGGTGTATGCAAACCTTATCCTACTTTGTATAAGGCAGAGAGACTATTTCCGATAGACCCTCAACTTAAGAACCGACGCTAATACATTTAGTTTTTCTTAATACATAAATAAGTTCTTGGTCAAGAATAGCTATGATTGTTGCTTTTCCTTGCTAAAATTAGAACTGAATAGCTCCCTTGAGAAAATGGCACGTGAGGAATGCACGACAGTTGCTTTAGTATTTATTTATTCCATGCATTATTACTTATTAGTTGTACAAGTATGTGGTAACCATGAAATTTAATTAAGAGCCTCTAGTTTTTGAATGAAATATAATGGAACGTGGATACCAACAACTACAAGTCTACAACAAAAAAGGATTACGTTTGGATTTTCCATCGTTTTTCGACGTATTCGTCTAGTCAGCTTATCTTTGTACTTAATTTATCAAAATTAGTTTAATTCAGACACATAATTGCTGTTCCTCATTTTGAAAATGGTTGTATCAAACTGCTACTCCAGTGTTGAACAATCATACTTACTATAATAATTTATTTATTTATTCATTTATTTTAAAATATTAACATCACTTAAAAAAAATTATGTGTATGCCACTGAAATTGGTATACATAAATATAGAGAAAATAGTTAGAAGACGGACCTAGGATGTTCGCACATGACTTTTCTGCTATATAAATTTCTTGAATTAATCATCAAATTAATCTAGCATCGTCTTTGGATAATATTCATGGGAGATAATTCGATTTGTTCTATAAAAGCGACAAATGAACTTGTACAAGATATTTTTCCGGGTGAAATTTAAAAATAGCGAGATTTACAAGTGGTCGTTCAAAAATAGCCCAGTTTCAAATGTAATCGAAATTTAGTTACTTTTCATGTAAAGATAAATCTGAGCGAAAACACTGTTCAAAACCCGAAAAATACGCCACTATATTATGCTGGAGTTCCAGCATAAGTATACTTGAACTCCAGCATATTATACTGGAGTTCCAGGATAAGTATGCTGGAACTCCAGCATAATATGATGGAGTTCCAGCATAAGTACACTAGAACTCCAGCATAATATACTGGAGTTCCAGCAAGTATACCGGTCCAGTATAATATGCTGGAAGTTCATACACAAGTGCTCGAATCTCTAGTATATTATGCTGGAACTTTCCGTGTGTTGGAGTTCTAGCATAATATGCTGGAAGTTCATACATAGGTGCACCGAACTCTAGTATATTATGCTGGACCGGTCTCTGTTACAGCAAAATAGTGGCTATTTTTTATTGACTTGGTAAATGCTGGCTATTTTCGAATGACCGGTCCGAAAACTGGCTAGACCGTGCTATTTTTACTATTTTTTCACCTCTAGGAATCTAAAAGAAAATCAACAGGGCGATAATCTAGTTCTCAATAAAAAATACTACTACTAATACATTTTGTTTTGCAATCTTGCAAGCTCAAGAAATTATCAGACCATTGAGCCAAGTAGACCCAGCTATCATTGAGCCAATTAAGCCCAACTTAGTTATAAGACTGCAATTGAGATGAGCTCAATGAAGCTCAACTCCAGCTACAATGGCAGAATCTCGAAGCTTCTGAAAGAGGAGAAGATAGGAGAGCAGAGAGTAACTCCTTCATTGAAGAATGAAGCTTAACTAAAAATGAGGAAATGTACAGCACTATATATATACACGTAAATGACAGCTGGACATCCTAACCACTAACTACTGCCAGTTGTACTAATTAATTAACTAATCAGCCACTTTCTAACTAACATACAAAGTGTATACAAGTGAAGATAAATATAATCTCATCTCAATACCCCCCCCCCCTCAAGTTGGAGGTGGGAGAAGCACAGCCAACTTGCTCAGAACAGTAGAATGCTTGATGCCTATAAGAGCCTTCGTAAGAATGTCTGCAAGCTGGTCATTGGTGGCAATGTGATGCAAGGAAACCAGACCATCTTGTAGTTGTTGTCGAACAAAACGACAGTCCACCTCAATGTGTTTGGTGCGTTCATGAAATACTGGGTTCCTTGCTATATGTAAGGCTGACTCACTATCACAAAACACTTCAAAAGGACTGGAACAGGAAGCTGTTAATTCAGTAAGCAATCTCTTCAACCAAACTAACTCCCCAACCACTTTTCTCAAAGATCTGTATTCAGCTTCTACTGAGGATAGTGAAACAGTCTCTTGCCTTTTGGATTTCCAGCTGATAAGACTGCTCCCTAATAGAACAACGTAGCCACTAACAGACTTCCTTGTGTCTGGGCAAGCTGCCCAATCAGAGTCACAATAGGCTTTAATTGACCAGTCAGAGTCATTGGACATGAACACACCTAGAGTAAGATCACCCTTAAGATATCTCAACAGGTGAAAGGCAGCTTTCAAATGGGGCTCCCTAGGGTCCTGCATGAACTGGCTAAGGTGTTGCACACTAAAAGCAATATCCAACCTTGTGTTTGTGAGGAAATTTAACTTTCCAACCAGCATTCTGTAATAATTGGGATCTGCCAAGAGCACCCCCTCTTTTGCTCTTAGTTTCACATTGGGATCAAGAGGTGAAACAAGAGCACTGTACTCCAAGTAGTCATACTCTCTAAGCAAGTCAAGGAGAAATTTTCTTTGTGAAATAATAACACCATCTGCTTTGTATAGAACTTCCAAGCCCAAGAAGTAGTGCAGCTTTCCCGGATCCTTGATTCTGAATTTGTTGTGTAGAAAGGACTTCAACTGATCAATTTCTGATTGGTCTGTCCCTGTCAACAGGACATCATCCACATAAACTGCTACATACATAACTGAGTCCCCCTTCCTCTTGAAAAATAGGGAATAGTCATTCATAGAATGTTCATATCCACTCGAACACAATGCCTCAGTTAGTTTTTCATACCATTGTTTGCTTGCCTGCTTCAGCCCATACAAAGACTTATTCAATTTACAAACCAAGCCTTGGCCATCCACCAAAAGTCATGGAGGGACTTCCATGTACACTTCTTCATGCAAATCACCATGAAGAAATGCATTGTTTACATCTAGTTGGAAGATGTTCCACCCACTCTTTACTGCAACTGCAATAAGAGTCCTGATTGTAGTCATCTTCACTACAGGAGAAAAGGTCTCTGTGTAATCCACTCCTACCTGTTGTGTGTAGCCTTTCACCACTAATCTAGCTTTGAATCTTTCAATGGATCCATCTGCCCTATGTTTCACCTTGTAAACCCACCTGCATCCAATTGCCTTCTTCCCAGGGGCAGTGGTACCAAATCCCATGTGTTATTGGCATAAAGGGCTTCAAATTCCTGAACCATAGCTGTTTGCCAAGCAGGATTGATGGCAGCTTCCTCAAAAGAAGATGGTTCACTATCATTGCATATGCTACTCACCAAAGACTGACTATCATGGACTAGAGTGTTAGCAGAAATGTAATGATGTTTAGAGAATAGTGCATTCAGAGAAAAATCAAAATGTTTAGGTGCAGTTGTTTGTTCATGTAAGGCAGGTTGATGCACAGAGTATATGTAGTCTTTCAGGTATGTAGGTGTTTTATGTTCTCTTAATGACCTTTTCAAGAGTGGAATTGGATCAGTAGTGTGCTGTATTGGAGGTGAGTTGGAGATATGTGGAATGGAAGCATTCTGTGTTGGTGATGAGTCTGCAGGGGCAGGTGAAGGTGAAAAGTGTACATGATCAGTAGAAGAAGGAGTGGAAGGAGAAGGTGACATAGCATTGGGTGTATTGTATGCATTCCTTTGATCACTCACAATTCTTTCTGAGGGTAGCTCTATGTTGGTATCAACTGTGGGACTGAGAGGAGGTGGATGAAGAATTGAAGGAAAAGAGGGAGACTTGGAATTGAAAGTGAAGGGAAAAACAGACTCATGGAATACTACATCTCTGGAAATATGGATTCTTTTGGTGGCTAAGTTCAATACTTTGTAACCTTTTGTGCCAAAGGGATACCCTACAAAAACATGAGGTGTTGTTCTTGGTTCAAATTTATCTCCGTAGATTTTTGGTACTGTTGGGAAACAGAGACAACCAAAACTTCTTAATTGGGAATAATTTGGTTTCTTATTGTGCAAGACTTCAAAGGGAGACTTGTTTTTGAGATAGGTGGTAGGCAGTCTATTTATGATATAGGTGGCTGTCAGAATACATTATCCCCAGTACTTTAAAGGTAGTTTGGACTGAAATTACAAGGCTCTGGCTGTTTCAAGGAGGTATATGTGTTTCCTCTCTATTACCCCATTTTGTTGAGGGGTATAGGGGCAAATCTTTTGGTGAATGATCCCTTTGGATTGAAAGAACAATGCAACTTCAGTGTTAACAAACTCCAGTCCATTATCAGATCTTATGGACTTGATGGAGGTTTTAAATTGGTTTTCAACTAGGGAAACAAAGGCTTTGATAGTTTGGAGGGCATTGCTTTTACATGTTAGCAGATGAGTCCAAGTGGACCTACTGAAATCATCAACCATAGTGATAAAGTATTTATACTTGTCATGTGTACACTCATGGTAAGGACCCCATAGGTCCACATGTAAGAGTTCAAAAATTCTGTTTGAAGTGCTGGTCCTTTGAGGAAAAGAAAGTCTACTCTGTCTAGCCATAGGGCAGATTGAACATATAAAGGGTTGCCTAGAAGGGAAAGAAACTGGTATGGAGGGTATTTCCTTTATTTTCACAAAAGGCACATGTCCTAGCCTATTATGCCATAGAAGATTAACATCATTGGAGACAGAACAGTGAGTCTTATTATTTAGAGATGGACTATTTACAATTGGACATTGATGACTCAAGGATGACCTATTTACAGATGCATAAGGATGCAAGTTGTTCAAGAAATGACTATTTACATCACAGGAATGAGTAGAAGAACCAAAAATAGTTTTGCTAGTCAGACTCTTGTTTCTTAGACATTGAGAGCACAACAGGTACAGTCCATCCTTGACTTTACCAATCTCCAGATGTCTCTTCAGTGAAGGGGCCTGCAGAAGACAAGTGTTGTCAGTGAAAGAAGTCATACCTCTTAGGTGTTTGCTCAACCAGTATACAGAAATAAGATTGAATTTGAATGAAGGAATGTGAAGAACTTTATATAGAGTGATCTCAGGTGCAAGTTTTACATTTCCAATTTCTGTCACCTTCACTTTATAGCCATTTGGTAAAACAACTAAAAGAGGATAAGGCAAGGTTATAATATCAGACAATATGGATTTGTTAAAGGTGATGTGGTTTGAGGCTCCTGAATCTAGTATCCATGCGTCAGTCTTTGATTTAAAACATCTACAAGACAGTTTATCAAAATCAATGGAGGATGTGCAAACAACAATACCTAAAAAGTTCACAGCATTGGTAGGATTTGAGTTGTTAGAGTTCTCTGCATCATTGCCAAGTTGGAAATGTTGTAGCAGGTTAACAAGTTGTCCATATTGTTCCTTAGTCAAATTCACATTCTGGTTCTCATTTTGGCCATCACATTCATCAAGCTTGCTTGTCATTGCATCAGCTGGCACTCCCTGCACATTTGCCACCATCCTCTTTCCTCTGTTGGATCTAAAATTCTGATTGGAGTTCTGAGTACTCTGAGGATATCGTGTAGAGTTCTGCCCATTTTGTGGATATCCATGCAGTTTGTAACACTTATCTCTAGTGTGGTCTGGTCTCTTGCAAAAATCACACATAGGACGACCTCCGTTGTTTCCAGAGTAGTTGTAATTTGGTGAAAAATTGGTTCTAAAAGGACTTGGTCCTGCATTATTCACATTTAAAGAAGTGGACTCAATTGACAGTGATTATTTGGCTTTATCTCCCTTTGTTTTTCATCTTGGACAAGTAAGGAAAAGGCTTGGGCTATTGTGGGTAGTGGATTCATCATAAGGATACTTCCTCGAACTACAGTATACACCTCATTAAGTCCCATGAGGAACTGTATTAATCTTCTATCTTGTTCAGCCTTGTACATGCCTTCCTTTGCCCCACAGCTACAAACACAACTATACTGAGTCCTTTTGTTCAGAGTATTCAATTCTTCCCATAGCTTTTTCAGCTTAGTGTAATACCCAGTGATGTCAAGGACTCCCTGAGAGAGATCATTAATTTCCTTCTGAATTTGATATAGCCTAGCTCCATTGGTTTGTTCATAGCGATCCTTCAGCTCCTTCCACAATTCAACAGCATCACTCGCATATTCCACACTATCCGCAATCTCTTTGGAAAGAGAATTTAAGATCCACGATGTTACCATGTTATCACATCGTTCCCACTGCCTATAATTTGGGGATTGCAGATTTGGTTGTTTGCATTCCCCACTGACAAAACCTAATTTGTTCTTTACGGACAATCCACGAAGAACACTACGCCTCCAGGATCTATATCCTATCCCATCAAGTGAGACAGATACAAGCATTGCTCCAGGATTATCGGAAGGGTGCAAATACAGGGGATCACTTGGATCAATTCCCGTACTCGGAGGTATCGTGGTACTCGTATTAGCAGAATTCGCATCTTGTTGGTCAGTGATAGCCATTATAGCATTGAATTAGTTGAATTTGATAGGGCAAAAACGATCGGAACTAAAATTTCTAGATTTCTATGCGGTGGATCAATTAAAAATGAGAAATTGATCGAGCTTAGGGCAAATCGATCATACTAGGTCAAAATCAGAAGAGCAAAAGAGAAGAGAGAATCTGTAAGCGAGAGAGAGAATGTGAGGAAGATTAACCTCGCGATTTGAGGGTGATTTTTAAAAATAGCCAGATTTACAACCGGTCGTTCAAAAATAGCTCAATTTCAAAAGTAATCGAAATTTAGCCACTTTTTATGTAAAGATAAATCTGAGCGAAAACACTGTTCAAAATCCGGAAAATACTCCAGTATATTATGCTGGAGTTCCAGCATAATTATACTTGAACTCCAGCATATTATACTGGAGTTCCAGGATAGTATGCTGGAACTCCAGCATAATATGATGGAGTTCCAGCATAAATACACTAGAACTCCAGCATAATATACTGGAGTTCCAGCAAGTATAATGGTCTAGTATAAGATACTAGAGTTTGGAGCACCAGTGCTCCAGTCTCCAGTATATTATACTGGAGCCAACAAAGTATACCGGTCCAGCATAATATGCTGGAGTTCATACACAAGTGCAACGAAACTCCAGTATATTATGCTGGACCGGTCTCTATTGCAGCAAAACGGTGGCTATTTTTCATTGACTTGGTAAACGCTGGTTATTTTTGATTGGCCAGTCCGAAAACTGGCTATACCATAAAATTTTGGCTAGACTGCATCTTGAAGATTTTTTGAGCTAAGGGCTGAAATTCAAAAATAGTTAGATTAATAAGTGGTAATTGAAAAATAGCTACAATTTGAAAAGTAACCAGATTTTTATCCAATTCTCATGTAAAGATAAATTTGAACAAAAACATTGGTCATAATCTGAAAATATTCCAGCATAATATGCTAGAGTTCGAATTTTTTACATGTGAACTTCCAGCTAACATGTTGGAATTTTATAATGTGGTGAAGTTCCAACATAATATGCTGGAAGTTTCGTACACAGGTGCTCCATTCTCTAGTATATTATGCTGAAACTTTCCGTGTGCTGGAGTTCCAGCATAGTATGCTGGAAGTTCATACACATGTGCTCCAATCTCCAGTATATTATGCTGGAATTTTCTATGTTACAGCAAAATAGTGGTTATTTTTCAATGACTTTACAAATGCTGACTATTTTTCAATTACCAGTCCGAAAACTTGCTAGCCCGTGCTATTTTAACGCTAATGAGCTTGGGTATAATGATGGTCCCATCAAGTCCAGGCCCATCAATCCAATATAAATTTATAAAACTTGTAGAAGTGACACTAGGTAGTCACTATAAGGGACATCTATTTAAGTAGTAATTAATTAGTGTATCTTGAATTTTAATTTTTCAGTTTAATTTTTCGAGACAAAACGAATTTCATTTCAAAAGTGTGCTTTAATTTTTCGAGACAAAATGAATTTCATTTCAAAGTGTTCTGAATTGTGCTGAAGTTAATTTTTTTAGTTTAAAATTTTAGGACAAAATAAGTATTAACTAACCTGACAATGGTTATCCGTGCACTTACTCCATAAACTTTACTCCATTGCAAATAAAAATAGCTTGGAAATAATCTTCTGCAGTAACTACAAGAATCTCATAAAGGGAAAGCAGAAACATAAAATACACACGCCCAATATATTTCAAATTATACACACGCCCAATATATTTCAAATTATATATTAATTTATTATAGCCAAATATTAAATTAAATTAACAAAATAAGTAAGTTACTTAATATAATTTATATATATTATAAGCACGAAGACTTTTAGGTAAAGTTAATTTACCATAATAACCTTCAAAAATTGAAAGACCAGATTATCCTCTATCTAAGATTAAAATTATTTCCCATTAAATGATATTTTGTACTTAATGTCCTTTTAAAAAATTCACAACATTAATCATATATCATATATTAGATATTTATATTTATATATATATATATATATATGTGTGTGTGTGTGTCATACTAAAAGTGGGAAGGTGTTAATGTCAAAAGTTGAAAGATAAAAATGTTCATAAAAATTCGAACGATCATTCTACCCCACTTAAATACTATTCCTATAATATTCTTGTACTAAAAAGTAAATTACTTTCCAAAATAATAAATTTGCATTACCTTGATAAATAAGAGTGAATTTCCGGTACAATCAATTAGTGAAGCCAATTCAAATCCTTGGTGCCCTTTCATTTTTCTTACATTATTGCAAAAATATATAAATTTTCCCAAACCTTTGGAATTCCATTCAATGTTTGTCTTTTTGGCTTCTAAAAATTATTACTACTATTCATCCTTTTGTCATCTTTTCTGTTACTCTATAAAACTAAGTCAATTAAATAATTTTTTCCCCTGTCAAATCATTGTCTATTGGAATTTCTTTTCAATAAATGAATATTGTTCTTTTATTTGGCAAATCTACTTACTATTTGCACGCAGTCAATTTCTTTTACTGTTAGTTTTTGTGAGTGTTGTGTTAATTTATAGTTCTTGTATGTATTTTCAGTGAAACTATATTTTATTGACTCATTTCTTATACATGAAAAGTCTAATCGAGTACCTTACAAAACTCTATCTTTTTGTCTAGAATAATCTTGTCCAATTTTGATTTTATTTATATGACTGCTTGATATTTAACCTTCTATGTAACTGCTATTAATTTGCTTGTTTCATATGACTTGCAAAAGTATATTTTATTCATATTCTTAAATATTATTTCTATTTGCTTATTTGTCTATTTCATAGAAAATGGAAAAAAGAATGTAACAAGTGTTACTGTGTTGCTGTTGCAGTTTCAATCAACTATTACTAATTGTTGAAAGATTTGTTCTACACAGAAAAAGACATTAAAAGCATTATATGGAGTTGATAGCAGCGACGAAAAGAGCAAACAAAATTCATTTTGGGCTGTACATGCAACTTCTTTAACTATATATTCAACATTTTCAAAGATGAAAGTCTCCGACAATTTAAGACGGAATTTATAATCTTTTCATTGTATTCTAGATCTCTGCTTTTCGCACTTTTATAACCTAGGAAGAACTATCCTCCCTCATGTGTAGAAGTGTAAACATTGTTATTCATATTTCATGCTATTCTTTTCTATTTGTATCTATTCTTGAATGCGTTATCTTGATATGAAGCAAAAGCCTTAAATTAGTTTTAGTCCTACACGCGTATGTATATATGTGTGTGTGTTTATCTTTATTACATTAATTCGATATTAGGCACATACTATTAGAACATTGAGCATTTTCTTGTTCTTTAGAGATACTATTGGGTGTAAACTTGAGATTTCTATCCTTCGTGTTTAGGCTTTTTTTACGCTTCTCATTTAGAGAACAATGGTGTTTCTATGATGCAAAACTATTTTGGCTTGGTTGTTTAATAAATATTTGTTGCCTTCAACTAAAAAAGCATGTTAGGTTGTTACTCTCAATTCTCATGTGATGGGCTTACAGTTAAATCCAAATTCCTATTTGTGTTTTTTCATTGAAATAGAACTATATCAATTATCGAATAATCTTAGGAACACTTCATATTCATCCCCTCGTGTTCATTTTGCTCTCTATCCCCCCACTTTTTTACTTTTATTAAATAAAACTATTCATATATATTTTTACAGGTGTATCTATAGAATTTTACCTCAAAATTTATATTTATATAATTTTAAAAAAGTTATACTCATTGATATGAGATACACGTGCAACGCGTGCTTAGAACTAGTATATATATATATATATATATATATATATATATATATATATGTGTGTGTGCGCAAATATTCACATTAAAATTTTACCCCCTCCGTCCCTCACAGCGTCACTCCTTCAAAACCACAAAGCTGAGAGCCTGAGAGTTACAGTGACAGTGCTGCCTTCAAAATCATCAACAATGGGCGAAGAATCAGAATCAGAATCAGAATATCAATCTCAACCCAACCCTAGCACCACCACCTACCTAACCAATGTACCCCGCCAAACTCATTCATCCCCCACCAAACTCCCTTCTCGACCCAGAAAAATTCGCAAACTTTGCAACACTACAGATTTCCACAATAATTCCAACCCAAGGCTCATTCCTCGTTCACTTTCATCCGACGGCGAACTAGAATCAGCCATAAGTTACCTCAAATCCTCCGACCCATTACTTATCCCATTAATACAAACTTACCCACTTCCCATTCTTGAACTTTCTCAACCCCCTTTTCTTGCCTTGACAAAAAGCATTCTTTTTCAGCAATTAGCTTTCAAAGCTGGTTCCTCAATTTATTCTCGATTCATCTCTCTTTGTGGTGGCGAGTGTAATATAAGTCCAGATATTGTTTTAGGATTAACCCCACAACAGCTTCGTCAAATTGGGATATCTGCTAGAAAAGCAAGTTATTTACATGACCTAGCTAGGAAGTATCAAAATGGGATTTTGTCTGATAAGTCAATTGTGGAAATGGATGATAAGTCCCTTTTTGCTATGCTTACTATGGTCAATGGAGTGGGGCCTTGGTCAGTTCATATGTTTATGATATTTTCGTTGCATAGGCCGGATGTTTTGCCAATACATGATCTTGGTATTAGGAAAGGAGTGCAAATGTTATACGGGCTTGAGGATCTTCCTAGGCCTTCGCAAATGGATCAATTGTGTGCGAAATGGAAGCCTTATAGATCGGTTGCTTCTTGGTATATTTGGAGGTTTGTAGAGGCAAAGGGGGCGAATTCGAAAGCAACTGTTGTGGGGAATTCTGATGTTAGTGTGCAGCTGCAGCAGCAAATGTTGTCAATGCAGCAGCAACAGCAACATCAGCATTTCTTGGATCCTCTTAATGGGATTCATAATGTTGGGTATGTTTCCTTTTGCTTCTAGTTTGCCATTAACTGTGCAGTAATTGCTCTTCTAAGTTTTTCCATGAATGTTTCATTGTGGTCATTAGTATGAAATGCTGGT